TGCAGCGTCCAATCACATGACTGATGAACAATGAGGGGGCGTGTCGGCCGTTAAAAGACTTCCTGGAAGTCTGTTCTCGTAGGTCGTCGCTCATGGCTCCTCCGAGGTCCCTCCTCGCTCCTCCCTCCTCGCTCCTCAGAGCTAAATAAGAGCTTTGGGATGGCCGTCAATATGGCGGCGCAGAAACAACTTCCGGTTCGAGCGAGGATCGAGGAGCAAGGAAACGACAATTAAGAGACTTGAGAAGTACCCAGAGACACACACACCCATCAGTCGCTGTTTGACTTTAGACCTGTTTGTGTCTCTACAGAGGAGGAGACCACCGAGTTCAGCTCTACAAGGTCAGTTTAAGCCGGTCTGTTATTATATTTATATAATAAGACATGAAGATGTGATGTTCATACACAGTCCTGCTCTGTTCTTATTATCATTGTGTTCATACAGGTGAGAGCTTTCCTTTGTTATATACTGGCCGCAGTGAAAATGTTGTTTTAAGTCTGAACACCAACACATGGAGTGTGTAGTTTAATATAATTAGAGTTTATGACTGACTGTTTGATTTTAATCATTAATATACAGAATAGGGCAAGCACAATACGATACATATCACAATACACGATAAGTCACGGTACGCTATGTCACGATAAGTCACGGTACGCTATGTCACGATAAGTCACGGTACGCTATATCACGATAAGTCACGGTACGCTATATCACGATAAGTCAGGGTACGCTATATCACGATAAGTCACGGTACGCTATATCACGATAAGTCACGGTACGCTATATMACGATAAGTCACGGTACGCTATATCACAATAAGTCACGGTACGCTATATCACGATACGATGTGCTATATCACGATAAGTCACGGTACGATGTGCTATATCACGATAAGTCACGGTACGCTATGTCACGATAAGTCACGGTACGCTATGTCACGGTACGCTATGTCATGGTACGCTATGTCATGGTACGCTATATCACGATAAGTCACGGTACGCTATATCACGATACAATATATCGCGATACGATACATATTGCAATAGTTTATTTATTTATTTTTGAAAATGTAAATTGGGAACTGACACGAAACATTGTGTTAACGTGACCTCTGTTAGTTCCTCTTGCTGAACTTCTTCTGTACAGGTGACTCTCCTCTGTCTTCATTCAGGTCCTCAGTTCATTAGGCCACCACGTCGTCACCTTTGATTACAGAGGTGAGAACTCTTCTTCACATATTTATAACAAGCATCACTGCTTTAATACATCTGAACTGTGTGTGTGTGCGCGTGTGCAGGGTGGGGGGATTCAGACGGCTCTCCATCAGAGGGGGGGATGACATCAGACTCTCTCTTCGTCCACGATTGGCTGAAACAGCGTCTGAACGACAACACGCAGCTTTACATCTGGGGACACTCTCTGGGGACGGGGTAAGACACACACAGATACACATATATAGTATACACACACACCTATAGACACACACACACACACACACACACACTCCATTCAGTACCAGGGTTAAATTATTTAATCTGAATGTTTTGTTTTTCAGAGTTGCCACAAACCTGGTCAGACGGCTGTGTGACAGAGGTCTGACACACACACTCGGTTGCATCAATAACTTATATCAGCTGATCAATGACTCTGTTTACTTTATTCAGGAAAAGACAGTTTTACTCATCTGACGATATGACTCATTAATATTCCACTAATGTCCTCGTTAACGTGCAGATTAACATAAACGTTAATTTATCCTCGTTGGGTTCCACATGTGTTCCGTGTAATTAGAATAAACAGCTTTTGGAGGTTGTATTTATTATATCTATATCTATGAGATATGTTACAGTAAGTTTAATGTAAGACTCTTAATATTCATGATGTCATTGACAGGAAGTCCCCCTGACGCTCTGATCTTAGAGTCTCCGTTCACCAACATCAGAGAGGAGGCCCGGAGCCACCCCTTCTCCATGGTAACACACACACACACACATAGAGCAGGTTGGCGGGTCGATGCCCGGCTCCTCCGAGTGTCCTACACACTGAACCCCAAACCTGAACCTAACTATAAACCTGAGCCAGCCCTAACTATAAACCTGAGCCAGCC